CCACTTATACTAAAGTGGAAGGCATTTAAAACGTTCCGTCTGACTAAAACTGATATTCACTAATTACACTAAATTGAAAACGAATTTTAAACTCTCCTGTCTGACCGTAACTGGCAATTACTACTTACACCTAATTAAGAAGCTTACAAAATCCCCTTTGTCTGACTAAAACGGACAATTACTACTTTATATGATACCTAATGAGAAAGTTTCCAAAATCTTTTGATTCACTGGAAACTGATATTTTCTACTTGATCTAAATTGGAAAGGACTCAACTGACCATAAACTGATATTTACTACTTCATTTCAATTAAAAACCAATTGTTTGGCTAAAAAACGATATTTTCTACTGAGAACAAAAAACAAAATATTAAATATTATATTATTATTAGTATTATTAAATATTATGTTTCTACTTAAAAGTGAAGTAAAAGTATTGGTCTGACTAAGATCTGATATTTTTCACTGGAAACATGTTAGAACACTTGTATGACTCAAAATTGACATTTATATTTAAATTATATTGAAAAGCAATTTTTTGAATAAAAACCGATGTTTACTACTGTCTTTTACGATTTAAAATTATTTTGAAAAAGAACCTGTATAACTGAAAAGTGAACTAAATATAAAACTTATTTCATTCAAATAACCGATTACTTATTATCAAACAAATATTTATTTTATACATATAATATTTATTTAAATAGAATAGATTTTATTCAAACCTATAATTTTATCATTTGAAACAAGTATTTAATAAACTAAAATAAATATTAAATTTAAAAGAAGTTAACGTGCTGTCGATACATTGAAGCCCATGAGCTTATCGAGATTTATTTAAGATATTTAATTTATTTGCGTGTAGATTGATTCGGGAAAACTGTTAACTTCTTTCAAATTTAATATTTAATCACCGAATGATAAATTCACTTCCTTCAATTTATATAAATATTATTTGATATTTATAAATATTAATTTGTTAAGCATAAATATTTATTTAAATCTAAAATTTTTTTATGTGCATTATGTACACTTAAGCTGAACTAGAATACACTTGTCTGAATAAAAACTGAAATTTTTTACTGAAACCAAATAAAAAAGCACTATCTAACTATCTGACTAAAAATGGATTTTTAATAATAAATTACACTAAATTAAAAATTAATTTTTGACTGGAAAACCGTTAATTACTGCAGAAATTAAATTAAAAACCACTTGTCTGATTAAAGACTGACGTTTACTACTTAAACTAACTTTGAAATATTTGTCTGATTAAAAACGTTTGTTTTCTACTGAAACCAAATTAAAAGACACTTTGTCTGACTAAAAATGGACGTTTACTACTGAAATCAAATTAAAAAGAGCTCGTCTGTCTAAAAACTGACGTTTACTACTTAAAGTAATTTAAAAAGTATTTGTCTCAATGAAAAACGATATTTATTATATATACTTAAACAAATTTAAAAGGATTTGTCGGAGCAAAGACATGACGTTTACTATTCAAAAAATATTCTTCTACTATTCAGAAAAATGTCTAATTAAAAGTGGTTATTTTCTGCTGAAGTCAAATTTAAAAAAAAACACTTGTCTGACTACAAGTCGACCTTTACCACTAAAATCAAATTAAAAACTTCTGGTCTGACTAAACACTGTCTTTTTCTACTTAAAATAATTTTAAAAGCACCTATATGACTAAAAACCGATATACCGATATTTACTACTGAAAGTAATGAGAAAAGTTCTAGTCTGACTAAAAGCCGATGCTTACTACTTAAACTAAATTGAAAAGCACTCATCTGACTGAAAATTGACTTTATTACTTATATTTAAACATTGAAATAGATAAGAAAAGGAAAACAATCTCCATTATTCTGAGTTCGTTTCTTGCTCTAATTAAAAATTCCAAAAACTATTCTAATTAAAGAAATGGATATCTTCTGGAAATTTATAAGCTACCGACGAAACATTAGCGAAATACAAAGCCTTGACAAAGCATTTTATCGCCCAAGGCTGCGCACCAAGATTGTGCTTCTTTGCCTTAAGTTTGTTCTTGTGTCTATCTTTCTACCGTCTCACTCTCTCCAGACGAATATAGTTTCTCATATAGTTTCCACTTCATGTGGCTTAGTATCCTTAACCAAACAACAAACTACCCTGATAAGTTTTGTCAAATTATATTTTACATATTTTACATTCATTTTGAATATTAATCTATTTTTTTCATTATTTTATATCTCTATTATTTCCATTCGTCGAAGAACGGAAATTCTAAATATAAATTTGACCCATTTTATTCGAAAGTTAAAATAAAACTGTGGTACTTAAAAAATGTTTTAAATAATAAATTCCTTGTCAATTATCAAATGAATATTTATTTCAATCAAATAATTTTAATGAATTTTATTTTTTTTATATAAATTTTGATATATTTTTCGATTTATAAAAACTCAATGCAAATAAATTTCTATTTGAAGCAAAATAATATTTACCCAAATTAAACTAATTGACCTAAATAAAAATTTGATACAAATAAATATTTATTTGATTAATAAACAGAATAATCGATTATTTGAATTAAATACATTTTTTCCCTGTGTGTGGAGTATAATTACTCGGCGGAGTTATAATTGGAAAACGTTTTCATAAAAACGAGAGTGCATTATAATGGATTTTTTTATTCAAACTTTTATCCATCATTAGATATCTGTGACTGCCTTATTTAAAATACAGCTCGAGGGTGATTGAAAAAATACCCTTCAAAAATTGAGTCCTTAATGGAAACGGCTCAAGAAAACCTTCAACTTGTGCTCTATAGCATATCATATCTAAAATTCAAATTCCCTCCGAGTATATATGAAAAATTATTCATTTTGTCCATCCCTCTATAGTGAGAATTAGAACGAATTTTTCTTTAAAAAGAAAAAAAAACTTTTATAAAAACGTAGTTCACATAACTTTATACTATTTTCCCGGTAGAAAATCACTGTTGATTGAAAAGTATCAATTTGCAATGAAATTATTCTAAAAATATGAATTGAACCATAATTTGATCTAAATTTTTTTAAACTGCAAAAATTTAAAACGCGAAGTTATTTTTATAAAATAGTCGATGATAAAGAAATCGCATCTCATTTATAATTCACATGAATATTAAAATCCAATAAAATCAGTACTGAAATGTTTCATATTTCAAAATAACATAAATAAAAATTTAAATATTTAAAATGAATTACAAAGATTATTTTTTTGAATACACCACGTAAAGACGATGACGAATTTAGAAATCGTTTCTTCACACAAAAAAAAACCTTTCTATACTTTAAAGTACCCAATTCCATTTATCCCTGATATTTTATTATTAAAATTCGAAAAAAATTATGTTCACTTCAAAAAATAATAGTTTGGAGGACTTAATGTACACTTTCAAAAAGAATTATCCTCCCATTGAAATTATAAATCACTGGAAAAATAATAGTGTCGAAAAGACTATTTCTTTATTAAAAAAAAAAAAAAAAGAAATTTTGTTTCAAGCTCAACGTGTCACATTCCAGAGAAAAAGTATAATCTCCGTTTTAGCCAATTCCTCTCATTTTGATGCAAATTTTTTTCCTTTTTACGTTAAAATTTTTTTCCTTATTTTTCATCTCAATTTTTTTACCAGATACTACTTCATTTAAGAGAATATTATAATTGGAACATATAAAACTCTTTTGAAAAATGAAAAACTAATTTTTGAAAAACTATTTGTTTGACAAAAATATGAATTTAAAAACTCCAGAGATCACAGTAATTTTTTCAATATATATTTACTTACAAAATAAACTCGCCAGGAAAAATGTTGTTTAACTTACCTAAAACAGAAAAAAAGAAGATACATTTTATTAGAATTGTTATCAAAAAAATAAGAAATGAAAACAAATAATAATTTCTACTAAATAATATTATTTCATTATTTATATTTTATTAATTAATAAAAGTTACTTCGGACTTGATAAAAAAATAAAAACATAAAATTAAAAAATAGTAATTACTGTTTCAGAAAAAAATTTCTTTATAAAAATTAGAAAAATTTACCTTAGAAGTAGTAAAATTTTTTCTGTAAATAATAATATTTAATAACAAATTGTTTTGCTTTTCAAGAAAATTCACAACATTTTTGAACAAAAATTAATTGTCAAAACAATGAATTTACTATTCAAAATCTACAAATAGTACAATTTGACTGATATTACAAACAGTTTGGCTTGTCTGACTAAAAATTGACATTTACTACTTAAATTGAAAAGTAATTTTCTGACCAAAAAGGCAAAAACTGACCTTTAATACTGAGATCAAAATGGAAAATTTTTTGCTTGCCTAAAAACTGAGTTTACTACTTAAAATAATTTAGAAAATACTACTTAAAAAAATACTTGTCTAATTAAAAACTCACTATTAAAAACCTGCAAATAGTAGAAGTTGACACTATAAACAGTTTGGCTTTTATTTTCTAAGTAGTAAAAGTTTAAACTCTAGGATAATAATGGAAAATAATTTTTAAGTTTCAAAAAATAAAAATATGTCCAGTTGCTAACTGAGAACAAAATAATTCCAATCAACATTTTTTAACAAATTTTTCCTAAAAAAAAAACATGAATATATAATCTGCTGAAAAATTCAAAAATGGATTATCTAAAAATTTTCAAAAATTGTCTCACGTCTAGAAATGTCAAATGTCAAGAGGTTAAACTATAAATATTGTTAAAATTTGATTCGAAAAGGTTATATAGAAAGAAAAGAAAATTTTAAATCTGGGTCAAAATCAAGACGAGACAAAATTAAGATTCTCCCTCTTTTATGCACTACTACAGTATTTAAATAATCGAGTTAGTGTGTAATTTCGTTTTAAAGTTTTGTCAGTTTCATGAAACAACTGTACAAGTTTTAGGTTAATAAGAATCTATCGATAAAATAGTCAAGTCGAGCGAAAATGAACATGACATAACGTGTTCTGCTTTAGATATCTTGGATCCGACGGCGCGACTGGCACGTCCTGACGAGTTCAATGTTCACCTACACGAACGACGAACGATTTCAAGTGCTACATCCGGAAGGTACCAATGTCTGGACACTTCAAATCAAATACGTTCAAGAGAGGGACAATGGAACTTACGAATGCCAGGTAAAATTTCCCCTTAAAAAAAACAAACAAAAAAAAAATTCGAAAAAATCTAAAATTTTATCCTATTTATCAAGCGCAGATAAAAATGAAAGTTTAACTCCGATGAAGTTCACAAACTTTACGATCAACATTTAAGAAAGTAATAAAAAAATGTTTTCTAGACAAATTTTCATAAATTTTTGCTTGGAAATTTTTTTTTGCAAATTTTCCTTAGTAAATATTTTAAAAGAAAAAAATTGTAAAAAAGATAAACTTTATTTTTTTCTGAAAAAGTATGTTTTTCCTTCAATCGTTGATTATTAACATTGTTAATTTCACCTACGTAAATTTTACATATTTAGATACTTAGGAAAATAACTCTAAAATGAACTTTGATTTTAGTAATTATATCAATTAATTATTATTAATGAATTCAAAATTTACTCTACGAAAATAATTATGGAATAAATTTTCACTTCAATAATTATTAGTAAACCAAAAATAATTCAAGTATAAATTTTCACTTTGTAAATTAATAATTAATTAAAATTAATAATTCATTGTAAATTGATTAAATGAAATTAATAATTTATTGTAAGTTAATTAAATTAAATTGATTGTAAATTAAAAACTTTTTTAAACAAATGTATTATGTTTTTATGTTCTTTGCAAAATAATTAAAGAATACATTTTTTATATTAATTAACCGGTTATTTTTTCATTATATCAAATAAATAGTTAATGAATTACACTTAAATACACTATATTTACTATTAAAACATTTAAAACCAAATTAAAAAGGACATGTCTGATAGAATAATAACTTTTACTACTCAAACTATTATTCTACTATTAAAAAAAAGTCAACAAAATTTAAAAGAATTTGGTAACGCTTGTTTGAATAAAAAATGTAGTTTTTTACTTTATCTCAATTTTAAAGCATTTTGTTTGACTAAAAATTAAAATTTATTACTGCAATGAAACTGAAAAGTATTTGTCTGACCAAAAACTAACTCTTTTCATTAAAAACATAATAGAACTCATGTCTGACTAAAAATTGACATTAACTACTTAAATTTAAAAGCAACTAGATTTTCTAACTAAAATCCGACGATAACTATTGACTTCAAATTAAAAAAATTTTTTTTGTATAATTTTTTTGTATTTGTCTAACGAAAACCAGACGTTTACTATTCAAACTATTCTTCTACTATTTAGATAAATATTTGATTAAAAGACAATATTTTCTACTGAAACCAACGTAAAAAAAAACAATTGTCTGACCAAAAACTCACGTTTTTTATTTCAACTAGTTTAGAGAGTGCAAAAATTTATATTTTTCTACTTACAATTATTTAAAAGTACTTAATTTATTAAAAAAAACAACTTTCACTACTTAAACTAAATTTAATAGCATTTGTCTGACTAAAAATTGACTTTTTCACTGAAAACATAATAGAACACTTGTCTGACTAAAAATTAACATTTACTACTTAAATTGAAAAAAATTATTCGTACTACAAACCTACGTTTAATTCTGACATCAAATTAAAAATGCTTTGTCTGAATAAAAACGGTCTTTTACTACTTAAAATAATTTAAAAATCATTTCTCTGAATGAAAAAGGATATTTGAAAGCAAATCAAAAAGGACTTTTCTGACTAATAACCGACTTTTACTACTGAAATAAAATTGAAAAAGTCTTGTTTGGACAAAAATTATTTTTATCACTCAAATGATTTTTCTACTATTCAGATAAATGTTTGATTAAAAGTGAATATTTTCTATTGCAACCAAATTCAAAAAAAATACTTGTCTGACTTAAAGTTGACAGTTACTACTGAAATCATATTCAAAAGATATTATTTGACTAAAAATTGTCTTTTACTACTAAAATAAAATTGTTTCACTGACTAAATACTGTCTTTTACTACTTAAAATTATTTAAAAGCATTTATCTGAATGAAAAACGATATTTACTACTAAAAAAAATTTTAAAGAACTTGTCAGACTAGAAAGTGACGTTTAATACTTGAACACTACTAAAATGTACTAAAAACTGACTTTTACTACTTAAAATAATTTGATAACACTTGTCATATTAAACATCGATGTTTACTAAATTCTAAAAATGTTTTCTAAATGTTTTCTAAATTCTAAATTTTTAAATTCGATTTAAAAGCATTTGTCTGACTAAAAATTAACATTTTCAACTGAAAGCCACAAATAAAGCACGTGTCTGATTAAAAATTAACATTTACTACTTAAACTAAATTCAAAGTATTTGTCAGTCTAAAAACCAACGTTTACTATTGAAATCAAATTGAAAACGTCTTGTCTGACTTAAAACTGTCTTTTACTACTTAAAATAGTTTAAAAAGCATTTTTGTCTTAAAGAAAAACGATATTTACTACTAAAACAAAATTACAAAGGACTTGTCTGACCAAAAACTGACATTTACTACTTAAACTGTTATTCTACTATTCAGACTTAAAATACTTATTATCTGGCTAAAATCTCATGTTTCTATATTAATTTACATTAATAATAAATTAATTATTAATAAACATTAAAAAATTAAATTAACTAATTAATAATAACAAAAAGTAATTAAAAATATCCCATTGAGAAAATCGTCGGCAATAAATTAGAGTGGAAAAAAAAATCCTCAATTTGTATGACTGATTAATTAATTAATCGACGCGTGTAAACTCACAAGCTCTATCTGCGCGAATTTCCTTCCTCCTAGCATTTGTTATTCCGCCCTCTCTTTTCCTCTATATATAAATAATTAATGTCCTTAAACTTTCAGCTGGGAAATAATTGTCTTGAACTTCCCTCTTTTCTAGGCAAACTTGAACTTCTATATAGGTGCTTTAGGAGATTTTGCCAATTTTATATTGGAAAGAATGTGAGAAATTGCAAACGAAAGTACTTAGTTATAATGAGAGAAGTAACTTTTTTTTTTTTAAATTGGCTCCGAGAAGAATAATTATAGAACATTGGTAGTAAATGGAAATTTTACTGAAACTTCGACGTAATAAATTATCGCATTAAGAATGAATGTTCGTTACTTAAAAAGTACGTCTACTTGAAAGCAAATTAGATAAGAATTTCATTATATTTTTTATTCTTCTTCTATTTTTTTTTTAATTCTTTTTTATTTCTTTTTTAATTCTTTTTCTATCCCTTAATTTACGATTTTCTCGACTGACCCCAAAATTTCCCTAAGAATAACAAAAAAAAAAAGAAAATTTCCTTTCCTTAAAAACTTTTTTTCTTTAAAATTTGAAATTCGTTGTAATTGAAATTTGTTGTAATTGAAATATAATTGAAATTTGATTACATGACAAACGCAGTATATACATACATTGGAGAATTAAGTGTACATTGGATACAAATGGAACTTGCCTTCTACGATGACATATACTCAAAGATATTACACACTCTAGCCTCTTATGTTTGAAGCTCTCATGCAGTACAAGAACACATAATACACACTATATTCTCTCTGTTTCTCCCTCGAAACGAAGGCAAACATAACATGCAAACAACTAAGTAATCTCAGCTTAGTCGAGATATTTTTTACATTAAACAACCAAAAGCTAACTCTAGAAATGAACAGAATAGTCCAAAAAAAAAAACACACAAAAAATACATTAAAAATAATGTTACATTCGAAATAAGAGGTAAAAAAAAGAAACATTTCCCCCCCCCCCTCTTATTTTACTCATAATAAATATATACAACAAAAAACAGAAAAGTGCCCCCTTGAAATAGTGAATTTTACAAAAGGGCCTAGCCATCTTTTTTTCTCCTGACAATAACAATATTTCTGAACAGCAAGAGAAGAAAAAAGCTCATTTCATATGAAGCAATAAAATAAAGTATGAGCGAAATCATCAGGAAAAGAAAATACGAGCAAAAAAGAAATACAATCACCCAATAAAAAATATTAAGAGTAAAAGAAAAAATTGTAAAAAAAAACCAATAAAAAAAAAGAGAACAACAAAAAGGCAATATTGTTCTTCAATAATAATTAAAGGATATATGGCAAATTTTATTATAGAGCTCTCCTTAAAAAAAAAGAGAGGAGAAATATTATTGTCTAATTCGTTATACACTACTGCACGAATTGGTGGAGAGATAAAAAGAAGATTTCGAATAAAAGTCAACTCATCTCGGATATAAAAGTTTCGAATCTATATTGCTGTGTGCTTAAAGGAGATTTTTCGTAAATACAATTTTTATTTTCAAGAAGAAAAAAGAAAATTACAAAAAGTTGAAAGAAGGGAAAATTAACATTTTGTTCTAATAACAAATTCCGAAATTCGCGATAATAAACACTGAGTTATGATGACCCACAAAACTTTCGAACATCGGACGATAAATTTTTATGAAACTCTACTAAAATCGACAAGAGTGCGAAAGTCGTTTACTAATTTAAATTCGTTGATAATTTTATATTTTGAATAAGATTTTATTATTTGATAACTAACATAATTATTTGGTTTTTAAAATAATTATTTGGTAATTAAAATAACTATTTGGTTAAATTACAATACTTATTTAGTTATTACAATACTTATTTTGTAATTCAGAAATCTTTTATTTTTCTATCCCTCTCAAAATTTGAATGATAAAAAATGTTTATTAATTTGAATTAGTGACTGAATTTTTGCTTTCGACTTAGTGAATTTTATTATTATTAGTGAATCATTTTAAAAAATTTTAAACATTTCATGAATTCATTATCGTTTAGGGCACGTCATAATTAATAAAACAAAATGGAACGCGAATGATAAATTATCAGCACACGTTATTATTTAAAATATTAAAATATTATCGAGCTATTATTTAATTGACTGTTACAACAAAGAGCAATTGTCAGTTTTTCTTGCAATATTATACCGAATTTTAAACAAATAAATAAAACGATATTTAATATTTGCATACTATTTATTTGCTAACCCGGTTTAACTTATTTGTGAAATTATAATTCAAAGTAAAATCAGTTCAA